TCCAATAGCAAAAGTGAGGATAATTACCCAAAAAAAATGGTGGGGCTCCATTTTTGGTGTAGGGGGATAGGAATAAGACAGGGAAATGCACCCAAAAGGGTACAGTCACAGAAACCCAGGAAAAGGAAACCAAGCCTGGAAATTTAAAAGCATTGGTATCTGCTGCTGGGAAAATTGGGAAAAAAAAGTGGGACATGAAAATATGCCACCCTAGAAAATGCCCTGCCATAGACAAAGGAAAATGCAAACTCCCTTCCCTTAAACTTTTTACCTGAAATGTGTACCTCTTCAGTACGGAAAAGACTGTGCTTAATTAAATTGCAGGATACCCTCTAAAGGGGACAAAAAAAATACAAAACATCCAGGCCCTGGGAAAACCCGGGTAGCCACAGCCCCTCAAGAGGAGAGGTTTTTTGTGCCAGGGCGGAAAAAAAACTGGCAGGGAAATGGCAGAAAAAGTAACCAAATCCATATTCTGGGTGGAACACAGTCGATGGGGTCCCCTCCAACCCCAAAAGATACGATACTAATGCCGGAAAAAAAATCCCCCCCCCGTAACCAACAAAACCCCCAGCCCATAACATTTTCTTTTTTCAAATATACAGGGTCTAAAGCCAGCAACAAAAACAAAAATACCTTTCAACCGGGCTGCTTGCAGAGGCAAAGGCAAAGTTCGCGGTTTCACTGAGACCCACATAAAGGTCACTTGGACAACGAAAAATGGATCCCAGGTTTAAAACCCATACGATGTGACAGAGGAACAGGCAAAAGGGGGGGGGGGTTGGTGTACATTGCAGGTCAAAATTTTTTGCACAGAACTGTTAATGCCCCAATGAGTAGTGGGAAATTTTAGAGTAAAGGTCGAGAACCAAAACCTGTATTGTGGTAGTCTAAAGCCCCCGGATGCAACATCCCAGAAATTTCCCAGGAAAAGCTGAAAAAAATTGCCCCTTTTGGGAAAAATTTTCCCAGTCCTGCCCCCAAACATTTTTGCTCCTGGGGGATTTCAACTTAAGGCCCCTAAAATGGAGGAATATAGCAAATAAAAATTGGGTTGCAGTAATAACCCGGGGAGGGCAGCTTGAGGGAAAACTCACACGAGTTTTTTTAAATCTCTGCACAAAAATTAAATTTTTAAAACCAGCAAAAAAATTTGAGCTACTAGACTGGAAAATTTACACTAGATATTTCCCAAAACAATGATGATCTGAAAAGGGAAATGTACCATATCAAAAAAAATATACCCCGGTCCCCAACATAATTGGGTTCGACTGTATGCTTTGGAGCCCCAGACCGAAAAAAATGAGAAAAGCAGGGGAGAAAATTAAACAAAATTCAACTTAAATTAACAAAAACAAAAAGGGGGACCAAGTAAAAAACCAAGCCCCAAAACCCGTTAAAAGCTGGGAAGATATACTAAGCAACACAGCCCCAAAACTTTCCCTAGAACTTTTTAAAATGGTGGCACTCATGTATGCAAAGGTTATTCCTCAAAGAAAAAGGGGGAAAAGTTTTAAAATAAAAAGGACGGGCGCTCCCTTTTCAGGCGAGGGGAAAAGAATATCAGAGGGGAAAAAAGAGGTCAATATATTAAATGCGTAGGGGACATGGTAGAGAAATAGAAGCATCAAAATAAGCTAAAAGAACCCTTTAGGGAGTCAGGAATCGCGGGGAAGAACTAAAAGCCAAAAATAAAAAATCGAAAGAAACCCAAAGTATTTTTTTCCTACCCCAAAATCAAAATCGGAAAAGCCCAGTATTGGGCCCCCCTTATTTAAAAAACAAGATGGGTCTACACGATGCAGCAAGGAAATGAGTGGGCTATAAAACCCCCCAATATGATCATTTTTTAGAAAGGGCCCCCAAAAACCGGGACTGAGAGTCGAAGACCCAAAAATAAATTTTTTATGAGAGAGCCCCCAAATTTGATTAAAACAAGCCTATCCGATGTTATTGACCCCAAAATGACTTAAAAAGGGCGAAAAAATTGACATGCCCATGCACTCGGGCCCCGGGGCCAGACTCAGGGAAACCCCTGTATTCATAAAGGGAACTGAAAAGGACCCTACCCAACGAGCCTTTTCCATCCTATGGAGGGGAATGGACCCGGGGGCGTCCCTCGTTACAAAAAACCCAACGGGAAAATACCCCCACTCCAAAAAAGGGGGCAGAAAAGCAACAGCAAAAAACCTCCCAGCCCCAATAGCACAAACATCCCATTCAAAAAAATTTTGAAGGGGGTCCAAAAGAAGCAAGATCCCCACCCATTAGAAACCCCCCCCCCCCAAAGTTACAAAACCCGGGGCAAATGGGTTTAAAAACGGGTTTCGCCCCTGTCTGTCCAACTCCTGGATCACTACGAAAAGGGTTTAAAAATGCCTAGAAGCCCAAAAAGGGAAAGGAGAAATTATATTAGGACTTTCCCAAAACCCTTCCCGCCCAAGTGTGACCAGGGGCGAAATAGCGCCCAAAAAAAGGAAAAAAAGGAATAACGGGAAAAAAGAGGTGTTGGATCTATAATTTCCTCACTAACAAAAACAGAGAGTGTCGTCAAGGGTAAAGCCCGAGGCATTTAAGGGGGAAAAAGCTCTGTTAAAAAGGCAAGTACTAGCCCCCATCTTGTTTCCTCACCCTCATACCCGAATAGCCCAAGGATGTCAGCCACGCACGTGTCTTCCTTTGCAGGAACCCGAATTGCTTGAAGGGTTTTCCTTGCAGACACTGAAAAGGCTCCGGGGACATAAAACCCAAAATCTTTAGTGGGCTGCGGGAAAAAAATTTATAAATTTTCAACGATGAGGAAATTTCAATTACTCAGTTTATGGAAAACCCATGGGGAAAAATTAAATTTCTTCTTCGAGTACAAAACAATTCTGGCCAAAAAATTAGAGCGAAACCCCAAAAGTAAAAGGCCCTGGGGGATTATTCGGAGGATTAAACCTTAAAAGGACCAAAAAACCTTTGTATCAATCCCATCTGCTAGAAAAATGACAGGGAAGGGATAATGAGAACCTTAAAAAATAGGGGGGGCCAAAGGCCCATGTTTGACACTTTTCATGTCATTTTTCTATTAGGTTTGGAAATATTGCTGCCCCCCTCTAACGGGCACCTTTCAAGGCAGGTAAAATTCCCCGACCTAGAAAATTTTACAGAGAACTTTCACGGCGCGATAACGGAGAAAAAAAACCCCTAATTATGGGAGCGCTTGAGGTTTCAAAACCCTGTATTCCCGGGAAAAACGCGGAGGGAGAGATACATGTTTAATTCACCTGGAAAACCCTTGAGGGACTAGTAGGGAACTTGCCACGAAAATCATTTCCACACGAAAGAAAAAAGATTGGCAGCCCGATGCACATCCCCAATGAAAGCAGGGGTTTCCTAGCACGTTAAGGGGGGGGGGGGGGGAAACCCCATACAAAAAGTTCGGGGGGGGACTGTTCAAACGCCCCCCCCAGAAAACAAAAGGGGGATTCCCAACGGGACCCCGGGGCAGCTTAAAGGCTGGCAGGGAAACAAGCCCCTAAAGTCATTTCCCTGATAACCCGGGGCTGGGGTTTCGTACTTTGGTTTGCGTGCAGCCAGCAGCAATAGCCGGTTGATCAGGCGTGACCCACCAGGAGGCCTGGTAAACGCCCGGCCCCCGCGGGGGCCCGTTGCCCCCCGAAACTCTCTCCGGGTTAAACCCCAGGTATGACCCCATCCCCATCCGTGGGCGGTATAAAAGATTACAGGGGTAACATAAGGGGCCCAGGGATGGGCCTAAAGTTTTGATAGCTGGCAATTTTACAGAGGTAATAAATTTTCACATTTAAAAAGGTTTAATGAACTCACCCTTTCCCCCCCCCCAAAGGTAATGAATCAGGGTGGGTTTCTTGTCACAATAAATGACAAGTTACAAAGGTATTTACAGTTTAACAGAGGTACACAATGGGCCGGGGCCCGGGCCCCAAAAGTTTTGATGGTGATTAGGTAAAGGAAATAAAACTCACAGGTGGGGCACTCTGACCCACTTTTCCCCCCTTACCATCCCTGTGTCTGGTTTCTGACCAAGCATGCCCCAAATTTTTATGCTTAAGGGGTTGGGAGAGTTTTTATGGATGACAGAGAATCAGTTACAATTAAACTGTCAATCTTTGATACATAGATGCATTTCAGTGCAAGGGTAGGCCAGAATGAAGTACAACTGTATATGTTGAATGTTGAGGACAGAGTAAAACAACTAAAGCTAAATTACGTTGATAAAATTGCTTACAACCAATGTCCCCAATATCTTACTGCCAATTTTGTTAAGGTGGGGAACCAAAGCAATTATAGCACTAGGGGAAGGGAGAACAATTTTGCAGTACCTACAGTCAGTGATCAGGCTTCAAACACATTCTATTTTACAGCAGTAAAGGAATGGAATAGACTACCTGCACATGTCAAAGCCTGTTATAGCATGAACCAGTTCAAGAAGAGAGCCAAAATGTACCTAATGAATATGACTACAGAAAAGGAGGAGAGTGATTTCTTGTATATCTAACATACATGTACAATGATATGATACTTTACCCCTTGTATATCTCCTTTCATTATAAATACTTTTCACATAGTTAAGATACTTAACTGTTTGTAACTTTTAAATATTATTAATACTTATCACAAGGACCCCAATGGAAATAAATCACTCAGATTTTTTTTTTTTTTTTTTTTTTTGGGGGGGGGGGGATTATCCTTGGTAATCCACACATGCTATGTATGATAATCTATGTAACTGTATTTATGTGTACCTGTACCTGAATAAAAACTTACATATATATATTAATGTATATTATATATATATATATATATATATAATATATATTTATATATATATATATATATATATATATATTATATATATATATATATATATATATATATATATATATATATATATATATATATATATATATATATATTATTGATTTAAATGCATAAGGAAGCACGATATTATAGATATTATACTGTTACGACATAATAATAAATATAGTCCCGCGCTCCCTTGCCTGTCTCTCATAAACCAAGATGGCGGAGTACGATCTCACGTCCAAGTTGGGGCCATTTTTGGACCGCCATTTGGTGTTTCCTCTTATGGAATTCTTATCTGTTAAGGGGGTGAGTTGCCTTTCGTGCTCGTTAACATTTGTATATGTATATTTGAGGGCACAGGCCTGCTGGTGATGACATTTGAAGCCTCCGTCTGGTAGGCACTTCCAGCCATCTGCCTCGCCATAAACATTAACTCAGTTGCTGTTTATTTTGCACCTAGTAGGTTAATACGGACACCAAGGTAAAGTTTATTGATTGTGTAAGCTGTGAAAATGCTTTGGGGTTAAACCATCTTGCTGTGTAGGTTAGACCATCTTACTGTGGGGTTAAACCATCTTACTGTTGGGTTGAACCATCTTACTGTGTAGGTTAGACCATCTTAATGTGGGGTTAAACCATCTTACTGTTGGGTTAAACCATCTTACTGTTGGGTTAAACCATCGTAGTGTGGGGTTAAACCATCTTATTCTGGGGTTAAACTACAAAATATTCAAGGAATTAATTATCATCCTTCCTTGCCTTTAATCCGATTATCTCCCATGGTCTGGGTGCTCTGTGATCCTTACAGAAGCACACAACAACATGTCAGTGCAGAGCTACATTCAAAAATATTTTATTTACAACTTTGAGTAAACAGTAAATGTTGATACTAAGTACATAAGTAAGTTTATTCAGGTACAGGTACACACAGATATGGTTGCAGCATATATGTAGATTCCCTAGGATAACGCAAAAAAGTCAAAGTGACTTCTATTGTAAACCTAATTAATTTTATTTTGGTAAGCTACAGATTTTTAAATTATTACAATTATCTTCCATAGTATACAATGTGGGTATGGGGTACTATCAAAAAGTTCCTAGACTGCCACGAAAAGAATATATAGGCTTACCTAATCACCTAAGATGAAGTTCTTTCTCGAAATATTTTCCTTGAGAGGTTATGCACTGATCCAAGTGCCTCTGCCACTTCTTGATTCATTTCTGGAAGTCTTCTTTCCTGTGTCTAGCAGTGCCTACAATGCTGCTTGAATCTACATGTCATTAAATTGCAGCCCCTTGAGTGCCATTTTTATTTTTGGAAAGAGAAAGAAGCCATGGGAGGCTAGATCTGGGGAATCAAGTGGGTGAGGGATGACCGCCAGTTTTTGGAAAACAAGCATTGGTATTTCTGATTTTGAGTCAGCAAGGCACAAATTTTGCTGCCGCTTGCCGCTTCAGATTTTCAGTCATGATGTCTTGACACAATCCATAAGAAGTTCCCACAGCACTTGCAATATCCTGGATTAGTCTTTTTCACTTTTTCAATGATGGCATCTGTTTTTTTACATTGATGGACAACCAGAGCATTCATCTTCCTGAACTAATGTTCGTCTTGCTCTGAATGAAGAAAACCATTCAAAACACTGTGCCCAACCCATTGATTCATTACCAAATGCTTGCTGAAGCATTTTGTGAGTTTCACTAGCCATTTTACCAAGCTTGAAACAGAATTTCTCACGTACTGTTTTTTTTTTTCTTTTAAGGAATACATTGTTATACAAAAGACATTGCTGACACAAGAACAACTAATGTCCATCTAATATCAACAAAATAATGACCACACAAACTCGCCATACTATTTGACAAAGGAGTGTATTGTGTAGTGTGATCTACACTACCACCATGTTTCACTCATGAAGCTCACAAATATTTGAGTGTGGCAACTTTCTGATAGCATCTTGTATATTGTGGAAAGTTACTTATGTACAGTTTAGGACATTTATTAAAGAAACCGTTTGGCTGCGAGTGGCTTCTTCAGTCCTAATATAGAGATAACTAAGAATAAGTACATATAGTGGCAGGAGCCATATATTCATTTCACACTCAGGGTGAAATGTTTCCTTTAATAAATGTCTTGATCTGTACATAAGTGACTTTTTCCACATCTTGCTGGTATCAGCATACCATATATTTTTGTTTGTGCATATATTACTTAGGATAACTCAAAACTGTTAATGTCAGTGATGCTAGTGGCAGCTCTGCTCATCCACAGCTATTGCTGAACCAGTGCTTTAATACATCCTTTCTAAATATACATTTATAATAACTTGAATAGTTGTCTGTGTTGGTTAACCCTTTGACTGTTTTGGTCGTATATACATACGTCTTACAAGGTACCGTGTTTGACGTATATATATGTACTCATAAATTCTAGCGGCTTCAAATCATGCAGGAGAAAGCTGGTAGGCCCACATGTGAGAGAATGGGTCTGTGTGGTCAGTGTGCACCATATAAAAAAAATCCTGGAGCATGCAGTGCATAATGATAAAAAAAACTCCAACCGTTTTTTTTAATTAAAATGCCGACATTGTTGTGTATTTTTGTATAGTATTTATGGCTGTATTCTCGTTTTCTTGGTCTCATTTGATAGAATGGAAAATATATTATAGAAATAGAGGTGATTTTGATTGGTTTTGCTATAAAAAAAAAACCTGGAAATGGAGCTCAAAGTAGGGGAAATGTTTGATTTTTGCCAATGTTCAAAAGTAAAGAAATAATGTCATTGTCCAGTTGTCATTCTGATATGCAGTCATGAATGGGTTGACATAATTTGTACAGTTATTACAATATTGCAGTAGTCTGCAGAACAGTAAATCTTCTATTTTTCGTTTGAATAAAAATTCAGTAGAAAGCAAGAGTAATATCAGAGGGGCCTTGAGACGTGACTGATGAACAAAGAAAATGTTATTTTAGAGCCAGGAATGTCTGCTTTGTTCATTCTGGACCCTATTTTAAAATTGTCATATTTTTTAATTTTCGTGAAATTGGCCAAATTGCAAATTTCTGACCACGTTATTGGGTAGTTGAAATCGGTAAGTGGGCAGTTTCTTGTACTCAGTCGATAGAAAAAAACGGAGTTCTAAAGAAATAGCTATGAGTTTGGTTGATTGGAACAATGGAATTAGCCGAAAATAGGGCTCAAATTGGGCGAAATCGTCGATTTGTAAGTATCACCAAGGTTGCTAATTCTGAGCATAATTCTATCAGTTTTCCATCAAATTTCGTTTTTTGGTGTCATTACAATCGGGAAAAGATTCTCTCGTTTCATAATATTTTTTTTTTTTTTTTTTTTTTTTGCGACACCAGGAGACACCTCAGGATTGGGGGTTGCGACAGTCAAGGGGTTAAATATTTTCAGCACTACTTAAAGGCTCAGTGACTTTATGGATTTAGTTTTTCCTCTTGAATATGCATAAAATCATGTACTGTATATTCCTTTTTATTTATTCTGGTTTTCTGTTTGTATAATATTAGCATATACCCCTAATTAGTTTTCAGAGTGTAAATTCAGTTCCTTCAACCTATATAAGAACATAAAGGAGGTGCCCAGTGGCAGGCCTACTGGGCCATGCTAGAGAGGTCTTAATTCTCACTCACTCAAGTGCTTATCTAGCCTATTCTCAAAGCTACCCAAGGCTTTTGTGCCAGTGATACTACTCGGGAGTTTGTTCTACTTGTCTACAACTCGGTTACCAAACCAGTGCTTTCCTGTATCCTTTCTAAATCAAAATTTTCCTACTTGAACCTATTGCTGCTTGTTCTGTGTGATTATGATTAGATATTTTTAGCAAGCTATTTATATCCTTATTTATTCCTTCCTTCCATTTATACACTTCAGTCATAAATGAAGTCCCTTTCACTGGCATAAGACAATGATTTTCAGATATATGATGAGACTGATTTGCAGAGGGCAAAGTTGGAGTTGCTTTCCAATACTAACATGGTGGATTTTGCAATGGACATCTATGCATCACTCTACCCTGACCAACTTGTCTCCGTAGAGCTTCCAGAACGCAGGTCTCGAGTTGTGTCTGAGTTGAAACATCTTCAGGTAAATTCTTCGTTACTTACACAACTCCTATACGTTAAACTAAATATTGCACAGTGCTGCTAACTGTGCTCATCATTATGTCATTTCTGAACACTTTAGTCTACAGTACTTTTAATCTTGCATTTTCTTCTAACTTAGATGTCTGTATTAGGCTGCTTATATCTACCCTCTGTTTAAGCAAGCATTATCCTGCCTGACAGTGAATGTTTAAATAAGTACAATCTAAAGAAAATATTTTATTAACTTTAATTCTTATAGTTGAGTCAGAATTAAATATGTATTGCAGTGTTGAATATCTTGGAGGGGATTGTTGACCAGAAAGTTTTACAGGAAAAGTATGAGACCAGCTTCATACAAAGGAAATTTTTCTTAGCAAACATAATGTAAGAATTGTATATTACTGAATGATTGTTTCATTTAGGAAAACTTGTGCACTCTTTGACTTGTTCTTTTATTATGAAATATGTCTGTGTTTTGTATAATGCTGTATTGTATATCTGTTTTTACAGTAATTTCATTATTAAAGATAACTAAGTACAAAACTTCATTTTGAATTTATATGTTTCTGCAGACAGAGACTGAACCCATTTTCAAGATCTTCAGTGACAGTGATGTACAGAAGCAGCTGCAGACATCTCGTGACCATCGTACCCTCATGCAGTACCTTGTGGAAAAGCATGATGTGAGTTAAAACATTTGGTTTAACCAAACTGATAGGTTTTGTTTACATTTTGCACTTTCACTCCTGTCCATGCAAATCATCTGCAGTGTATCTTTGTTAACTGTGTGTAGATACTTCTGTCTTGCTTCCACAGAAAATAAGCTTTGACATAAAGAATACTTATAAATTTCAAATAATGTGCATCATAATAACAGGAGTGGGCTTTCTTTGGGGCCAAATTGTATCTTGTTCATACCTTCTTCTCTTTCACTCTCTCTCTCCTCTCCATCCTATCTTTACCTCTTCCTCCAATCTGTTTCCCACTTTTTTTTTTTACTCTTGTAAATAGTAAAGGCAATTAATGATTTGGTGAAGACTTTTACACATAATAGTGTGATTTAGAATATCCCTGAATTTTTTTTTTTTTTCCAACAAGTCGGCCGTCTCCCACCGAGGCAGGGTGACCCAAAAAGAAAGAAAATCCCCCCCCCCCAAAAAAAATACTTTCATCATCATTCAACACTTTCACCTCACTCACACATAATCACTGTTTTTGCAGAGGTGCTCAGAAAACAACAGTTTAGAAGCATATGCGTATAAAGATACACAACATACATCCCTCCAAACTGCTAATATCCCGAACCCCTCCTTTTAGAGTGCAGGCATTGTACTTCCCATTTCCAAGACTCAAGTCCCGGGTATATAAAAATAACCCGGTTTTTCCCCGAATCCCTTCACTAAATATTACCCCGCAACAGTCGTCGGTCCCAAATACATTCGTCTCCCTTCACTCCTATCGAACACGCTCATGCACGCCCGCTGGAAGCCAAGCCCCTCGCCCCCAAAACCCCCCTTACCCTTCTTCCAACCTTTTCGAGGGGCGACCCCTACCCGCCTTCCTTCTCCTACAGATTTAAATGTCTCCATGTCAATCTACTTTGATCCATTTTCTCTAAATGACCAAACCACCTCAAAAACCCTCTTCAGCCCTTGACTAATTTCTTTTATTAACTCCACACCTTCTCCTTAAATTTCACACTCCGAATTTTCTGCATAATATTTACACCACACTAGCGCTTAGAAGGACATCTTCACTGCCTCCAACCGCCCCCTCGCTGCTGCATTCACAACCCAAACTTCACACCCCTATAAAAGTATTGGTACTACTTTTACTTTCATTACATTCCCTTCTTTGCCTCCCTAGATAACGTTTTTTGATCCAATATACCTCAATGCACCACTCCTTTTTTCCCTCATCAATTCTATGATTAACCTCATCCTTCATAAACCATCCACCGACACTTCAACTCCCAAGTATCTGAAAACATTCACTTCTTCCCTACTCTTCCTCCCAATTTGAAAATCCATTTTTTTTTTATCTAAATCATTTGATACCCTCATCACCTTACTCTTTTCTATGTTCACCCTTTTAACTTTCTACCCTTTTCAACACTCCCAAACTCATCCTAACCTTTGCAATTTTTCTTTAGAATCTCCATAAGCACAGTTCATCAGCAAAAAGTAACTGGGGTCAATTTCCATTTTGTATTTGATTCCCATAATTTAATCCTACCCCTCTCCCGAACACCCCAGCATTTACTTCTTTTACAACCCCATTATAAATATATTAAACAAAACCCTGGTGACATTACACATCCCTGTCTAAGACCTACTTTTACGGGAAGTAGTCTCCCTCTCTTTTACACACCCTAACCTGAGCCTCACTATCCTCATAAAAACTCTTTACAGCATTTAGTAACTTACCACCTATTCCATATACTTGCAACATCTGCCACATTGCTCCCCTATCCACTCTATCATATGCCTTTTCTAAATCTATAAATGCAATAAAAACTTCCCTACCTTTATCTAAATACTGTTCACATATATGCTTCAATGTTAACACTTGATCTACACATCCCCTACCCACTCTGAAACCTTCTTGCTCATCCGCAATCCTACATTCTGTCTTACCTCTAATTCTTTCAATAGTAACCCTACCGTACACTTTTCCTGGTATACTCAGTAAACTTATTCCTCTATAATTTTTACAGTCTCTTTTGTACCCCTTCCCTTTATATAAAGGGACTATACACGCTCTCCGCCAGTCCCTAGGTACCTTTCCCTCTTTCATACATTTATTGATCTTATTACTTTTCCTTTTATATCCATGGGGAAGTGGAATAAGAATCTTTCCTCCGTAAGCCATGTGTGTTGTAAAAGTCAACTAAAATGCCGGGAACAATGGGCTGGTAACCCCTTTTTCTGTAAAGATTACTAAAAAGAATAAGAAGAAGAAAATTGTCAGTGATTTAGAATATCCGTGAATACAGAATATAATTCCAGTCTCAATGGTAACTTTGTAGTTTTTGCTTAAGATGAGATAAGATAAGATTTTGTTTGGATTTTCAACCCCAAGGGGTTAGCCACCCAGGATAACCCAAGAAAGGCATTGCATCATCGAAGGACTGTCTTTCTTATTTCCATTTGGGTCCTCAATCTTGTCCCCCGGATGCGATCCACACCATTCGGCTAACACCTAGGTACCTGCTTGCTGCTAGATGAACGGGACAAGTGTAAGGAAACACACTTAATGTTTCCACCCTTGCTGGGGATTGAACCACAGACACTCGGTGTGTGAAGCAAGAGCGTTTCCTACCAGGCCACGGGCCAAATACATGAGCAATGTGTGATGTTTGTGAGGCTAGAGATTTCCAGTGCCATGGTGCCATACCTAGTCATTGGCAGTAGTAATATTATGTTTTGCTGCCTAACTGATCTTAAACAAATTCAGTAACTGGTGCCACAGGGTATGAACAAAATGTGTAGTGTTTAATCCTTTCAGGGTCCAGAGGCCAAATTTCAAAGTGCGCACAAGGGTCCAAGAATTTTCAAAAAAAATTTTGCTATTTTTTCTTATGAAATGGTAGAGAATCTTTTTCTGATGAAATGGTAGAGAATCTTTTTCTGAAGGTAATAAAACAAAAAGTACGAAATTTGATGAAAAATTTATGAAATTATGCTCTCGCGAATTTTGATGTGTCAGTGATATTTACAAATCAACGATTTTGCTGACTTTGACTCCTATTTTAGGCCAATTACATTATTCCAGTCGACCAAATTCTTAGCTATTTCACTAGTATTACTTCTATTCTATTGATTGAGCACAAGAAATTGCCAAGTTAACTGTTTCAACTACAAAATAATGTGATTGGAAATTGGTAATTTGGCCAATTTAACACAAAGTTCAAAATATTCCAGCTTCAAAATAGGGTCCAGAATAAACAATGTAGGTATTCCTGGAACTAAACTAACATTTCCTCTGTTCATTAGTTATGTTTGGAGGCTTTACAAATGAATTCCATTTTTATTTTTTATTCACATAATGAATTTTTATTCAAACCAAAAAATAGAAGATTTATTGTTATGCAATATTGTAATAATTGTATAAATATCATCACCACATTTGTGAATGTATATCAGACCCACCAGCTGATGTGTATTAGACGTGTGAGGTTGTTTGTTTACTTTTGAACATCGGCAAAAATTTAACATTTCCTCTACCTTGAGCTCAGTTTCAAGCCATTTCCAGTGCTAAAACCAATCAAAATAATCTCTATTTCTATAATATGTCTTCCATTCTATCAAATGAGACCAAGAAATCGCAAATACAACTATAAAAAACATACGAAAAACACTGCAGTGTCACTGTTTTAATCGAAAACCACGGTCTCGTTTTTTTTTCTCTCATTATACACTGTGTGTTGCAGGATTTGTTTTATGTGGTACACACATACCACATAGATGTATTCTCTCATATCTAGGCCCAAATTTACCACTCACAGCTTATCAAAGTGAGCTGAGCTCATGGCGTAGATCTATGGTTTGGACCCTGAGCGTAAAGTGTAGATCTACGGCACGGACCCTGAAAGGGTTAAATACACATCATATGGGTAAAAGTAAGAATTTGCATGTGATTTTTTTTGTTATTACAACCCAGGAGTCCCAAAGGCCTGTTATCCTGGGGGTAAAGGGAGCAAAATAAACACAGCAGAAAAACTTTTGACTTGTATTATTCTTCACCAATTTAGAAAAGAAGTATGTACACTATGTACAACAATAGGTATTAGTGCACTCCACGGTAAGCAAGGCAGAATAGAAGCCACTAGAGAGCAGACCGTGCTTCAACCAGCTCTAGAATGGGAATGACAGGGGCAGACAGGTGAGTGGTACCCACAACACCTCTGTGATTGCCAGAACCACTTTCTCATTGACTGGAACCTGGGTACTGATTGAACAACGGGGCCCCACCATCAACCCTTAGTATAACGAGCTTGTTTGGTAGGCTGTAGCAAGCGGGTGGTTAAATGATACGTCTTCGGAGGCTTCTTTCTTTATTGAAAGGTCGTGGTGGGTACACAGGCTTGTGTGTTTGTGCCCATGGCCTGGGCAGGGCCATCCCACAAGAGAGAGCTGGGAGGCCTTGTGTCTTGCTGCTAGGCCGCTGTGAGAGAGAGAGAGGCAAGTCTGGGCATACTGAAGTGGCAAGGCCTATAGATGGCAGCACCAGCATGGCGCGAAATATGAACTAAGCTGGCAGACAGCATGGGCTGTCTGTGCAGACAGTACAGGCTGTCTACATATGCTCGGCCACCTACCGCGCGTCGTCCCGACGCGACAATACTGGTGGTAAAAGAAACTCGGTCTCTCTCTCGTAGGAACAGGGCACAGAACACAAAATAAAAACTTATATATACATATGAACATGGAAAAAAAACTTCCTACAGGGAGGGAAGAAAAAAACATGTGGGGTGTGCTAAACATCGTGGTCAAAGGCAGTGAGCGTCGAAGGGCATCACTGCACGCCTTCCTGCTTTCTGGACAGATACTTGCAACACAGGAGACATCGCTGCAGCTGAGTTGTGACGTAACAGGGTACGGTCTCCTCTGGAACGGTGAAGCAGTCATCGTAGGAGTCACTGCAGGTTTTCACTCAACCTGGGGCATGACATGCTGGTGCCCTCGAGTGAGGCGTCGACAAAACTCGACAACTGGGCAGGACTTCTGGCAAGCGGACTCAGGAGGACACTTCTCGACTGGTACTGTCGCTGGGCTGTCACTGCCGGCGAGCGTGGAGTGAGTTGTGGAGCGAGTCATGGCAGAGACGACTGGGCGAAACATCTGGGAGTCATAACATCATACACCAGACTGCAGTGAGAGAGCTAGCAGTCAAAGTGACATCTTCTTTGTGCAGGCTGCTCACTGAAGCTTGTGACACGAGGCTGACACAGCGCCTGCCGACAGGCCTAACTGCGGCTTGGCGAGTATCATCTCTCCACAGTTGGAGTTTTAGCAGAGGTTAGTCTAAGCGTCCCCAGACTTGTTTCTCTACATATAACTGCACTCTGATGGTCTGGAGGTGAAGTGAAACAAATCTCGATGGGAATCGTAGGAGGTACAATTCTGCAGAACATCACGAGCGACGAGCATAAAAGCTTTCTGTACAAGAGGGCTCGGTCACTCGGAGCTGTCTTGACATCAGCTGTCAAACGTACTGGTCACACGGGTGACTTAGCACAGTGGTGCTACTCAAGTCTGGCTCAGACCTCACTGGACACACGGAAACTTTACACACCCGCGGTACAACATGGCTTAAACTAGCAAATGATGCTTTTCTGTGCATAAACTGACTCTAAGACATACTAAAATGTGAGAACACTGAGAGGAATTAATTAACACGACATATATCTTCTCGACAATATTAAAATAATTGTACTAGAAACACTCGATGTGACATCATGTGATGTCAGGCGTGATGACGTCAGCAGACATCTCGAGGTGACGCCAGCAGCACTGTGACGTCAGCAGACATCTCGAGGTGACGTCAGCAGACATCTCAAGGTGACGTCAGCAGACATCTCGAGGTGACGTCAGCAGACATCTCGAGGTGATGTCAGCAGACATCTCGAGGTGACGTCAGCAGACATCTCGAGGGGGGACGTCAGCAGACATCTCGAGGTGACGTCAGCAGACATCTCGAGGTGACGTCAGCAGACATCTCGAGGTGATGTCAGCAGACATCTCGAGGTGACGTCAGGCAGACATCGTGACGTCATGAAGTCGGGCAGCATCGTGGTGACGTCAATGTGATGCGGGCAGCAGACCACAGCATGTGGCCTGGGACATCTGGTAACTCACATAGCTCGTAGGTCTACGTGACATCACCCACACCCACGTGGCATCGCGATCCACGTGGTGTCGTGATCTACGTGGCATGCTGATCCACGTAGCTTCGAGTGGCCTCGGGCACTCAGATACACAGCTCTGGCAATGAATCACACGAAAAACAGCAGAAAACACAGCAGAGGGAGTGGGCAGTGGTGAGTGGTGTATGGTAGACGGGTGAGCGTGAGTAGGGCGAGCATGGGCAAGGTGAGGAACAGCCACTTCCTCTCCTCTCCTCCCCCACCCACAAATACGTAGAGAACTCACACTGGACGCAGAAATCACCACAAAACTCACCTCTGGCTTGCTGGAACAGCTGTGCTGAGCTGAACAACAACAGCAACATACAAGTGACGCTGAACACGTGACTTGAGAAACAGCGTGGGACGCTGTAGCGTGGGGTCACTGTGACGCCACTTACTATTCTCGGAGAATTTCGGCAAATTTCGGCCTGGATCCTGCTTGTACCTGTGTCTGGATGCTCAAACGTGCAGACACGACATCAGGATAACTCGTTGAAAGACTGATGCTTCTTGTATGGGATGATGAAGTGAAGATGACTTCATCCCTCTTCCTTCCTCGCTTTGGGCAAACACAACTTCTGCGACCACCGCTGGTACCAATTATAACGGGCTTGTTTGGTAGGCTGTAGCAAGCGGGTGGTTAAATGATACGTCTTCGGAGGCTTCTTACTTTATTGAAAGGTCGTGGTGGGTACACAGGCTTGTGTGTTTGTGCCCATGGCCTGGGCAGGGCCATCCCACGAGAGAGAGCTGGGAGGCCTTGTGTCTTGCTGCTAGGCCGCTGTGAGAGAGAGAGAGGCAAGTCTGGGCATACTGAAGTGGCAAGGCCTATAGATGGCAGCACCAGCATGGTGCAAAATATGAACTAAGCTGGCAGACAGCATGGGCTGTCTGTGCAGACAGTACAGGCTATCTACATTAGTACCTGGTTCGCTGGTTGGGGGAGATAGCCTTTCAATGAGGGTGTGTACATGCACTGAATAAAGGTTACGTACTCTTTGCATGCCACATTTGTTAAACATCTAACTTATTATTTTTACCATATGTGATACAGTAGAGTAAATAATTATTTTGAGTGCTCATGAAGTGGGTTGTGAAATTTGTCTTGATATAATGTAAAGCATGAAAAATCTTAAAATAAATTAATGTTTTAATATTATGCATTTTTTGCAGTTCCGGCCAGAAATGTTGGATACCTTATACTCATTTGCCAAATTCCAGTATGAGTGTGGTAACTATACTGGTGCTGCTGATTACCTCTACCTCCATCGTGGTTTAGTGCCTGTCAGTGACAAGGTAATAACATTGTTTTCTCTAGAGGAATTAGCTTGTTCATAATATGTACTGTACCTACAGTGTTGAGTTCTTGATAGGGAACTTCAGTTATGCTGAACATAGATGATAAGAGATCTGTTCAACTGATGCCTATGTACCTGGTGATTGTTCAGGGTAATGTCACATTTTGTGGCCAGGTCTCTGACTAGCTGTCATCTCTTAACAGCTTGTAACAATAATCTGGCTGATCAAGACAGTCCCCAGAAGACAAATAAGACATGCTATGCCTAGATATCTTTGTTATGAAGACATTGCCCCAACCAGTGGCTTTATTAATTTAATGCAGAGATTATACACTAGAGACAGTGGAAGATAAGGTAATCAGTCCCTTAGACCTGATGGAAAGTATTCAGTCTTTGGATCAGTTTGAACCAGTGGTAGGAGAATGGACACATACTGGAGCCAGAAGAAAGGCATAGCAGTTCAAATCAGTTACAGGCAAGGAGAGGGACTCACTAGTGGAAATAGGTCATGCTCAAGAGTTGAGCCAAACATTATCAATAGGACTGTAGAAGATATTGTCTGTACCGTGCTGTCAGACATTTATGATTCTATTAATGGTAAATAATACTGACAAGTAGATAATTAATATAAATGCAATGCATTGATATTTTATTATGAAGATGTTTCACCAACCAGTGACTTTGTTCAAGAGATTATATCAAAATGGTATACAATACCGACAGGTTGTTAGGTAAGACACATATGTTGCATATGTGTCTTACCTAACAACCTGTCGGTATTGTATACCATTTTGATGTTCATCTTGTCAGACACTGCAACACGTGGCATCTTGGTACAGAAAACACCTTGGACAAGCTTTTCAAGTGAGAAGTGTTGGATCTGAGAGGGACATGACCTCTCAGTGGCCTCTCACTACTACTACTACTACTACTACTACTACTACTACTACTACTACTACTACTACTACTACTACTACTACTACCCTGCACCTCTCCTTCCGACAGTATTTAAGTCTCCGCACTGTCGCTTGATCTTCAGATAGTTCCTGACTATGGAACTGAACTTCTCCAGGCCGAGGGACTGACAACCTCAAATTCTACGACTTTAAGGGTGATGGACTGATTACATCGTTTTCACATCTCTACTGTTCCTGCCTACTTTCTGTATTCGACTGAAGAAGCCTACTGTGTAGGCGAAACGTTTCGGAATAAAGTTGTCTAACTGTTGCATATGTGTCTTACCTAACAAGAGATTATAAACTGAAGACATTGAAAAATGAGGTAATCAGGTGTTCAGTCCTTGGATTAATCTGAAGCAAAGGTGTTAAATGTTGGGTGACTGTGCCTGGGAGATATGAAGAGAGCTGCCAACTTTGGCTTTGGCTCCCAGCAATAGCATAAGATGACAGATGTCTATACTTAACATTCCAATGCCTGTCTGAATTTTCTGTGTAACTTATTTTTTGTAAACGTATGCATGAGGAGTTGATAATGCCCTGGTTAGTGGAAGAGTAAATAGGAAGTCTGCTACACCATGAACCTTGACCAAATGAAAGCCATTGTCAGCAGGAGATTCAGGAAGAGAATGCCCACCTTACCTCTTGCCAACCTATGGCTTTGGATCTCGGAAATATTGTGAAAATGCAGATTTCTTTCCTTCTTTGACACACATGAATTGCTTATACAACTTTCATTTAGTATGATTTATGCATTGAGAGGCTGATAATGCCATGTTTAGTGGAGAGAAATTATGGAGTCTGCTACCTCACACACTTTGGTCAAACAAAAGCTAGTCAGCAGGAAATTAGCATACCACCTCTCAAAATACTGTTATTGCTGTATTGATATATGAACAGAGGTGGCAGCTCGCAGGAGACTCGTCCATATGTTTTCCCTTGTTTTGATAGACAACCAGAAACACTGCATTACCAAACAAGGTGTGGGGATTCTCTTAGAATGAACCAATGTGTTTGGGTAATCAGCTGATGTCATACCTGCATCCAGGGCCAGATTTAGGCATAGGCTAAATCTGACTCTAAACCTATACCTGTTACACTTCTTACATTAATTATCAACATTTATAATTTTTCTTTTTATAAAATTTAATATACAGTTTAACAAGTTGGCACATCTTTTGGGGACACCATTCATGACTTAGTTGATTTTTTTTTGTTTTATCAGTGTTACTTGTGTTATAATTTTCAAATTATGTTTCATCTGGCAGTTACAAATTTACAACAGTATTTTACTCCTAGGAATTAATTAAATTTAGTCACTGGGAATGAACTTGCTGTATTTTTATCTATTAATGAATATTTTTAAACTGAATAATTAAAGGTGTATTTCTTAAAGTTGAAGTGAAGTAGCCCTCCTACCCCCACATGGGTTTGTTATTCATCTAGGCAGCATTCTTACTAGGTTCCCATAGCTTAGGGTCTCACTATGTTTAAATGTGGTCCTGCCTGCACCTCTGAATATGTATATGTATTGAATCCCACTACACAACTTTCTAGTTTAAACACATATTCATGTTATCACCAATCTATTCAGTAGTTTAAGAAATACAGCTGGATTAGATAAATCACTGTGAAAAGCTCTGGAATGTGTAATTACAACTCGCTTATGCTAATGTATGATACTAAACTTAGTGGATTTTTTTATGATAATTCACACTGAATAGTTTCTTCAGACTTTTTATGTTGGTCCCATAATATTACGGCTTTGGGGCCAGTGTTTGTCCTGTAATACTACGCCAAAATTCTAGCAGCTTCCAATCTTGCGGGAGATAGCTGGTGGGCCTACATACAAGAGAATGGGTCTGAGTGGTCAATGTGCACAGTATAAAAAAAAATCCTGCAGCACGCAGTGCATAATAAAAAAAAACTGCAACAGCGTTTTTGGTTTAAAACAAGGACTTAGTGTATGTAGTATTGATGGTTGTTACTTGACTCAAGAAATCGTAATGACACGATTGCAAATAAACCATACCCCCGGCCGGGATTGAACCCGCGGTCATAGTCTCAAAACTCCAGCCCGTCGCGTTAGCCACTAGACCAGCTAGCCACAATAAGATTCATCCAACTAGGTATATTTCTACACCATAGGAAAGTTAGCACAGGCACCTCTGTGACCACAAATGCAAGTTTTTACAGACGAATCTCCAGCTAGCGTGGCCGTGACGAACTCTAGCTCAAGTCCCTTCACTGCCGTCAACATGACTTGAGCTAGAGTTCGTCACGGCCACGCTAGCTGGAGATTCGTCTGTAAAAACTTGCATTTGTGGTCACAAAGGTGCCTGTGCTAACTTTCCTATGGTGTAGAAATATACCTAGTTGGATGAATCTTATTGTGGCTAGCTGGTCTAGTGTCTAACGCGATGGGCTGGAGTTTTGAGACTCTATGACCGCGGGTTCAATCCCGGCCGGGGGTATGGTTTTGATGGTTGTTTTCTGTTTTTTGGTCTCATTTGATAGAATGGAAGATATATTTCAGAAATAGAGATGATTTTGAATGGTTTACAGAGTAAAAGTACCTGGAAGTTGAGCTCAGAGTAGCAGAAATGTTCTATTTTTGCCAATGTTCAAGAGTAGACAAATCATGTCCACATC